CCTCTATTTAATCAAGCAGAAGGATGAGGAAGCAGAAGATGAAAATATCTGCATACCTCTCCAGGACGTATAAAAATCAACCTCAGTGAGAGTTGGGGATCGTTCTAGTTAATAGATTCCCATCCTTGATGCTCATTTCAATGTTGTTCTTATTTTATTCATATCTAACCTTAAATCACTCCCTCCTTCTCTTTCTGTGGATTATTATTGAATATTTTTGCATTATGTGAACATTATCTGCTGGGTTTATTTCATGTACATGATTTTGTTAAAAGTGTGTTTTTAATCTGACTCTATTAAATATCCTTATTGCTTCTTTCTGAAGTGTGATTATTGGCTGCAGAGTATTTTTATATCTTTTATTCCCAGATCTATACACAGTAGAATAGATACAGTAAAACATAGAGGAATATAGAATATGCAGGAATTTCAGATCTGAAATATAATTTATTCTTCCAAGAACTGCAGTAAATATGAGCAGATTTGTTCTGATTCCAAACTCATTTTATTTAATTCTTTCTTTATGTTAATTTTTAATTGATTCCACATTAATTGTACATTATTCCTTCAAAACATTATAAACTTTATTATTCAGGTTTAGTGAGAATTTATTTCTGTTAAATTTCAGTTCTAGTTTGGATTGTTGAATTTCTGATCACATCAACATTTAAACTGTTTTCTACAAGAATTTCTGTACATTGATATTTTGTTACTGAGCTAATAAAATATTAAACTTTTCTTGTTTCTTTGTTTTTATTGTTTTTCAAACTTTTCTTTCATGGATCTTTACCTTTAAAGTTCAATAAATAAACAGGAAGTAGAAACATAGAATCTGATAAAACATGTTCAATTAATTCATTAAAATCCATTAAAACCAGAAATGTTACTAAACTATTTTATGTTGTTTCCTGTAAACTGAAGTGAAGATCAGTGAGTGAAGCATCAGGATGAAGCTGCTGATCAGCTGATCAGATCAATATTCAATAATCACGTCTTAAAGCTGTCAGAAATAAACACATTTTATTAAAGGAAACATTTCTACATCTGTGTTTTTACATCAGAATTGAATAAAGACAGAAAGGAGGAGAAATATTAAATTTCACTGCTGAGCAGCTTGTAGTCAGAGCTTAGAGCGCCACCATGTGGACAAAACACACATTGCAGCTGATCTCTGCTGAGGTAACATCATTTTACTTCCTGTTTGGATCTTCATGGATTTGACTCATTTTAACGATTATTATTATTATTAAAGTTCTTCTAGAAGCTCCAACAACATCTGGGTCCAGATGTTCTGGTTCCATCAGTTCCTGATCAAAGCTCCAGTTTAACCAGCTGATCAGAACCAGTTGATCTGGAGCAAAATGTTGATCATCTGATGGTTTAATGAGACGCTGCAGATAAAATAAACAGAATAAAATAATGAAATTTATCCTGTTAAAATGGAATTAGAGTCCTAATCCATATTCTACTGTTGTGTTAGAAAACAAAACTAATCTTAATAAATCAACCATTTAATGTGAAAGTCATTCTTTCAGAATAAAAGCCTTAAACCTGTTTCTCTCCCACAGGATTCAAATTTCAGTCACAATTTAAAGTAAATCAGCTGATTTTTGTTTCCTTTAACTTTTAAAAGTATAAACACTAATATTCCACACAAATATGATCAATATTTTATCTCAGTAAAGTTTGAATAATGAATTTAAGTTGCTGATCATAAAGTGGCAGAAATGCAGGTTAAATGTAAATACTGAGAGGAGCTGTAGTTCTCCTAGTTCTCCAGCAGGTGGAGACATTTCTCTGCTTCTCTTTGTTTTTCTATTTGCCACCAGCAGGAAATGTTGATGACAAACATCTGATATCCTGACTGAACTAATTCAGTCAATTAGAGATTAAACAGACGAATTACCAGGAACAGATTGATGCAGATTATTTATCATGAGAAACTCAGTGAGAATTTATTTATTTAACATGTGGGATTATTTTAGATTGCAAGAAGGAAATCCATAATTCATTGTTATGAGTCCAGTTGTTCCTCATATTGTTAGTGATGATGATCCTGATGTTCTGCTGCCTCTCCTCTTCTTCCTCTCTCAGGATGAAGATGATGTCCAGCATCCTGCTGCTCCTCATCCTCAGCTCATGTCTCTGTGGTCAGTCTCCATCTTGTCTTTGTGACAGAAAGCTCTCTAGATGGAGCTGAAAGACTCCCATGTTCCAGTTCTCAGTGTGTCTGCTCCTCTCTTTCCCTCTCTGTCTCCTCAGCAGCAACATTTGTAGTGAATGTGACACAGAGCAGCTATCAGGCAGAGGAGAAGCAGAACATCACTCTGGAGTGGACCTTCACCACCAAGACTCAGGGAACCTGGAAGAATCTGTTCATCTACTGTGAAGCGAACACGGATCATGGAGTCTTAGTTCTCTATCAGGTCCATGAAGGAGTTGAGATTCCAGAGTCTCAGGATGATCAGTTTTCAGGACGAGTCCAGAGCGACAAAGACGTCCTCAGAGAAGGACGAATCAGACTCCATGTGTCCAGACTGAGGACTGAAGACTCTGGTCTGTATCTGTGTAACATGAAAACTGGAGATGGAATCAACTCTGGAAGATGTCGACTCAGCGTTTCTGGTGAGTTTGAGGTTCAAAAAAAGTTTCTGTTTTTTCTGTAAATCAGTTAAGAATTTGTTGTTCTTGTGTCGTTTTGCTCAGAATTATTTTCTTCTTTAATTTCTGTTAATATTTTAACTGTTTGCTTCAAGTTTCAGTCAGAAGATTTTTATTCCAAACAAGAGAATAATGTGTGAAGCAGCTCAGTTTATCCAGTTGGGATTATAACATGTTAATAACCAACAGTGTTTATTTGATGTTTATTGTGTTTTCACTGCATTTTGTCTGTTTGTTTCTTTCTCTAAACTTCAAAGCCACAGACAGTAAAGCAAACATCAGTTTCTCTGATCAGTTTTTATCTTTTGGTTTTTTGCAGCTTCTTCTGAAATTTTCCATCATCAGAAAGAAGATTCAGCGTCAGAAAGTCGAGGACGGGACGGTCTTTATGTTTTACTGGGACTGACAGCAGCAGCAGCAGCAGCAGCAGCAGCAGCAGCAGCAGCAGCAACAATCATAGTTTTACTGATCAAACATAAATCCAGAACTTTTCCAGTGAACCGGCTGATGATGAATTTTATATCAGTTGTTTAATTGAACCCTGAAGCTTCAGGAAGCAGCTGATGGATCCTGAACTCACTTTAGATTCTACTTTGGTAACAGAAGAGATCATGATCTCCAGTTGTGACAGCAAAACAATCCCACATCATGATTCCTCCACCACTGTGCTTCACAGCTGCTGTTGAAGTTTCTGCTCATTTATTATGAGTCTGTAAATAAGTTGTTGTTGTTTAAAGCTAAAACTTCCCTGCTTTGGTTTTACTTTTCCTGTTGCTGTAGATTTGTAGTTCACTTTGACTATTTATTCATGAATATTTATGAATTTACTGTAAATTTATGCGACTTTATGTGATGTTTTCTTGGTAACTTTTATAAACTAAATGAGGTGAGTCAGGAAGTTTTCCAGATTTTTTTTTGCTTTTTTCTGATGTAAAATCATAAAGAAAATGATGAGGATCAATAAAGGATTACTGACGGCTCCAACAAGGGAAATATTGATTATTTCCATAAATCCTTGTTCTGTTGTGTCTGGCTGCTGACCCGTCCAGCTGCAGCTCACAGTCATTTTATCTTCTTTAAAATGTCCAGAATAACAAAATTATCAGTAAATGTCTCATTACATATTTACTTATTATTATTATTCAAACTCTACTTTTAGAAACTAAAATGTTTTCCAGGCTGTTTTTGCTCGTCCTGATCTGGACTTTTAATTTCTCCTCTTCATGTTTTGGTTCTTATTGGCAGAAATATGAGGGTTCAAATCCCACCTGAATCATTTTCTCAGTCCAGCTGCTGTTCATGTTGCAGTGAAACAACAATATCAGTTCTTATGGTTCAAACTCCAGCAGGAATCATTTCACAGAAAATCCTGGAAAACATTTTACCCTCAGCTGAGATCACCAGACGCTGAGTCGGCATCTTCAGAGACGAAACCGTCTTCAGTCTGAACACCTGGAGTCTGATTCATCCTCTGAGTGGGTGGAGATGATTGATTGATTCATTAATTGATTGATTGTTTTGTTCTTTGAAGCCACATAAAGAAACGTGAATTCAGATTTCAGGTTTTCAATCGTTCCAAGATTTATTTTTCTATTTTCCTGATTATTTGGAGACAATTTATTATATTGTTTGTCTTGGCGACTTTTCAGCACTAGAGGGAGAAGCAACGTTTAGTGAAAAGCTCAGATAGAGCTGATCTCAGTTCTGGAAACAAACATCTCAACAGTGAATCACCTTCCTGACAGCAAGTCTGCATGAATATGGATTTATTAATAACATGAGAACAATATGAAAATACCAACTGGAGCAGATAATAAACTTTATGCTCAGCAACAAAGAGCATCAATTAAACAGCTTTAAGACCAAACATCAGAACTGATCAATGAGTCCAGAAAACTTTGGAATCAATATTTTACTGTATATTCTAGAATATTAAACATTTTTCAGAGACACTAGAGTTTATTATCTGAATATGTGAGTCGATATAATATATGATAGTTTTACTTTCTAAATTAAGTGTTGAACTTTTTAACTAAATTATAATTTTTTTTGCTCGTTTATTTCTAAAGTGGAATAAAAATAATATATAAACAAAGTTTCTGATGAAAAAACATTTAATGTCTCAACATACATTCATCACCATTCAGTGAATCATCACTGTTGAATGTGTAAAATGAAATAATTCAGGAACTTGACCTTCCGGTTGATATTTAGTAAAACTGCTGGTAGTATTTGAACTGTGGGCGGAGTCACGTGTTTAACTCCTCCCACGCCGCCGGAGTGAAGGTCTGCTCGGAGAAAAGCCTAGAAACTTTTCTGCCTCTGAACCTTCATGATTCTCCAGCGTTGAAATCTTATCATTTCAGAGAAATGCAAAGCTTTGCTGCTGATCTCTGCAGCTCAGATCTGAAATAACAGACTAATTATTTCTATGTGCTTCCAGTTGCAGAGAGTCGAGGAATCAAATGAAGTTTGTTGGCAACTTTCATGACCAACAGCAAACAGGAGCATTCAGCTCTGAATGCTTTGCTTTGTTCATCCCACTGGAACTGATTCCGATGAGTCTAACGGAGCAGGAAGGGAAATTTCCTGTCACAGGGCGAGTCCAGCTTTATGCTCTGCAATACGAGGAGGGAGAATGTGAGGAATGTCTGACAGTAGGACGAAGAGGAGGAGAAACTCTTAACGCCAATAGAGATTTGTTCCCTCGACCGCCTCAAACTAGAAGAGAATAAAAGAAACAGCATAACTGAAACAGTTTGTCAGTCTGTTAGTCTAGATCTGGTGTGTCCATGTCTAGTCTAACAGTGTCAACGTCATGCAGAGACCTGGACACAAAGGCTGACAAAGCAGCAAAATGTTGAGGCTGATAAAGAAGAAAACTAACAGTAAGTTTATTACATGTTTGTCTATAATTTAGAGTTAGTTGAAAAACATTTTACTGAAATACACGTTTCCTGTGACTAAAAGTAAAACACAACAGTTAAATCCTGAAACCAGGTTTTGCAGTTCATATATCTGTAATAATAACTTTTAATCTTCTGTAACTTGTTTTATTTCTTGCGGCTGAAAGCTTTGTGTCTCTGGTTTGACACTTTTGTTCAGCATGTCTCAGGTTTCAAACTCTGACAGGATTGGTCTCCATCCTGTTCTCCTCACCACCACATGTGGAAAATGTTCAGCAGGGATTAAACTGCAGCCTGGAGAGGATTGTCAGAAAATCACTCTCTCATTTTGATGCGTTTCACAAGGATGAAGGAGTGAACTGATTCTGGATTCAGAGCAGACTCAGTTCACTCCTTCACACAGGATTCACAGAGACAATCCTAGATACAAACATCTTACCTGAAGAGAAGAACTGGACCGTAAAGTCCTGTTTCCAGAGGAAAGTAAAGTTTGTATTTCATTCAGACATGAAGGTTCTGGAGTTTAGAGGAAGAATGAAGAGAACCAGAAACCAAGTTGATTAAAGTCCAAAGTGAAATGAAAAGTCTTTTCAGGAACCTGATATCTCTGTTTAGAATATTTATGTTTTATTGGTTTTATACAGTTTGTCTGTAAATAACAATCATCAAAATTACAAGAAGGCTCAGAGAATATAATCTAAATATTTTATTTAGATCTAATGGATCTAAATAAGAATATTTAATAATGAAAGATTCAGAAGCTGCAGAGAATGAAAACGTCCTGTTGTCTTTCTGCTGTATAGTTTTATTACCACAAGGTGGCAGTAATGATCTGTTTCTATATAAAGTTAATTCTGTAGCAGGAATCCAGTGTTTCTTTGTATTGTGATTAACACTCCTCCTCTTCCTCTTCAGGATGAAGATGATGTCCAGCATCCTGCTGCTCCTCATCCTCAGCTCATGTCTCTGTGGTCAGTCTCCATCTTGTCTTTGTGACAGAAAGCTCTCTAGATGGAGCTGAAAGACTCCCATGTTCCAGTTCTCAGTGTGTCTGCTCCTCTCTTTCCCTCTCTGTCTCCTCAGCAGCAACATTTGTAGTGAATGTGACACAGAGCAGCTATCAGGCAGAGGAGAAGCAGAACATCACTCTGGAGTGGACCTTCACCACCAAGACTCAGGGAACATGGAGAAATCTGTTCATCTTCTGCAGCTTGTTGACTCCTGATAAACCGCGAGTTCTCTATCAGGTCCATGAAGGAGTTGAGATTCCAGAGTCTCAGGATAAACAGTTTTCAGGACGAGTCCAGAGCGACAAAGACGTCCTCAGAGAAGGACGAATCAGACTCCATGTGTCCAGACTGAGGACTGAAGACTCTGGTCGGTATCTGTGTGAAGTGAAAACTAAAGATGGATTCAACTCTGGAAGATGTCAACTCAGCGTTTCTGGTGAGAAGAAATCATTAATATGTAAACAAACATTTTTAGAAACTTTAATAAATTCTGATTCCTGTATTGATGAACCAACATCTTCATCTTCTCCATGAATCCTCCTGGATCTCAGTTTCCATCAAATATTAATAAATATTTCTGATTTCTCTCCCAGCAGCTGCTGATCAGATCCAAACTCAGAGACCAAGATTGACTCCAGAACCAGAAGAACAAGGATGGATGAACATCATCATCGTCTCTGTGGGACTGACAGCAGCACCTCTGATTTTTTTTCTTTATTATTTTTTAGTGAAATGTTGTAAACCAGTAGATGTTAATTTTAATAATTATAAAGAGAGAAGAGATAGTTCAGTCACTTTATCATTAGAAACAATTTGATCAGATTTAGAGGAATATAAATTTTCAGCATCAAACAACAAATTTATTTATTTGGTTGATTATTTTCAGCAGCTGAAAGATTTTAAATCTAAAACTCAACATAAATGAGCCTTAAAGAGAATTTAATCTAAGATTATAATTTATTGTTCAGTTCAGTGTTTCAGGTTTTATCTGATTTTCTTCCTTCTGTTCATGAACCAGCAGCATAGTGATGTTCTGGTTCTGGTTCTGACCCGCTGACTGCTGGAGACAGACATTCTGGACTCAACCAGAACCAGAACCAGAACCTGGAACCAGAACCAGAACCCTGATCTGAGATGCTTTAAGCTGCAGCAGCTGATGAACCAGTGAAGTTCTGGATCTGCTCCACTGGTTCTGGTTCTGAAGGTTCTGCTGTAAATAAATCCAGATTTCTTCCCTCATGTTGTCAGAACCTGATTCTCTGCAGAACCTTTTAACATCCAACATGAGCTGCAGCCGTTTGGACCTCAGCAGAACCAGTCCAGCTGCTGGATCTGACCTCAGACCAGTTCTACCATCAAGGGTTCTACTGGAGCGCCACCTGGTGGTGGAGTTAGGAACTGTGAGCTTATAGAGCTGAAGGTCTGAGTGATGGACCGACTGGATCCGTTCAGTTTGATTTGTTCTGTTTTTATATTTTGTCCATCATTAATATTCATCGTTAAGTTTTATCTTCTAACATTTATGATAAATTGTTTGTTTTATTGATTATATAACAAAATGCTGGACAAAAACAAAACAGTAAAACCCACATTAAGGCCAAATGAGTTTATTTATAGAAAGTGATGAAGAGGAGCTGCTGCTTCAGAAATGATCAATATCTGGACGTCGATCAGCTGATCAATTTTTGTAATGAATTTTTGTTACTTTATAAAACTTATTAATTAAAATGATTAATTTGCTGTTTGTTTCTTCTATGAGCATCAACACAAAAGCTTTATAATAATAATATCAGAGTCTTTAAATCCAACAGACTCTCAGATGCATCATAACCACCAGAGTTAAAACACTAATTACTCATTTATTAATATTTCATTTTCTCCTAAGTGAGAAAAATATGAGAAAATATTTAAATGTATTTTTAGTTCTTAATCTCTCAACATTTTGTTTCAAAACTTAGAAACTAAAATATTTTCCAGCTGCTCTGAGATTTCTGCAGATTGTATAGAAATTAACCTTTAAAACCACATGTTCACACAGACAGACGTTTGCAATCAGTTTATTGATTTACTGACATTAAAGTTACAGAAAAACATGAAGGAAATATTTTCAGTTTGGAATATTTCTTTGAATTTCTCATATAGATCAGATGTGATTATATAGATACAATGATGACTTGTCCTATTTTTTAACCCTGAACGTTTTCTTCTAGCAAATGAACTGGAACATGAGAATAAATGACAGAAAGAAAATGTTTCATTCAATATGAGAGCAAAGCTGCTGGTTTGATGCTGTTTTTCACATCAGTGATCAATAAAGTTTAATGAAAGAATCTGGAGATTTAAAGTCGTTGGATTGAACCACCAACAGATTATATAGAATAATTAAACCATTCAGGTCAACATTTGATCCTAATGAATATTTTTTATATGTTTTAACAGCCAGAAATGACAATTTGTTTGTTTTTGTTCATTTTTATGAAACCAGTTGTGCATCAGGCCAGCAGATCGTCATCATGTTGAAAACTCAGTTTAAAGATTTAAAGATGAGATTCTTTGATTTAGAAACTTTCATCGTCTCAAATTCATTCAGCATTTTTATTTGTTCTGCTGCTTTGAACTGAAACTGAACATCAAGGCAGCTGAGTCGTGATTTCAGTGACTTGAAACAACATCATCAATAATTATTGTCTCAATATTACAGATAAAAACAAAGAAACTGTAACATCTGCAGTTCAGATCTTCAAACTGAGGCTGAACTAAAAATCTTATTTACGGCTGTGTTTCCAGTTTGGTTCATTTTCCAGTTTCTGACCACAAGGGGGCAGCAGTATTCTTTACCAAAATGATCATCATGCATCTTTGCATTTCTGGCATTTTGAGTTTTCTTCTACAAAACACATTTCCCACAATGCACTTCTCCTCTGTGACCACTTTAACAGCTTAAAGCCATTCAGACGTGATCTAGTTTTCTGTTTGAGGCCAAAGAGACTCAGAGTTTCTTTGACCTCAAACCTCTGAACTGAAGGATGAGCCATACATGGTCCGCCATGTTTCCTGCTTTACAGCCATGGAAACCGGTTAATACCTTTTCCTCCATGGAGGTAGCTTATTCAAGGATTCAGTTTGTTGCTTATTGACACTTTGTTGATTGTCGTCTCAAAATTAGACGAATCACATCACAGTTAAACATCAGTAACATCTGACCTTGTTCCATTGCATAGCATTTTTGTAAACAAGCTTATTTAAATAAGACCTCAGTCTACATTCCTACATCCGAGCCGTCGAGGTAGCTAGTTCAGGGATTTGGTGTCTGGCTCAACACACACAACTGTGACATGGCCGTAAATCGTCTCACCAACCTTTTGGCCAAAGGAAGAACGACGGTCGGCCATGTTTTATGCGCTACTTCTATGAGGTAGAAACTGTTTTCTCAGTGTAATATTTCCCTCCCGTGATTCCACTGATAGCAGCACCGTTTCTGTAGCGCTGTCGGCAAAGTGCAAAGTGCAAAGTGCATTTGTAACGAACCAAAATATTTCCAGAACAAGTTCTGCTCATTCTCCAGAACTCAGTTTCTGGAAACCATAAAACACACAGCAGCTGGAGCTCCAAGTCCAATAGGGACTGAAGACGGGGCAATCTTTGGGGAGGTCATAAGGTCATAAGGTCATAAGGCCTCCTCTAACACAAAATCGGGTCATGATTAAAAAAAATAAAAAAATATTGGGAGTGATTCTGATTGTGGAGTTTTGGTGAATCTATGTCCTGGAGTTTGATGAGCTGAACCTGAAACCTGAACCAGCAGCAGAGTGGAGGGCGAGTCGTCCTGCTGCCAGCAGGAACAAACCCAAACCAACATAAAGTCCAAACCTCCCGCGATCCACCAGCTCTTGGGTTTCCTCCTGAGTCTCAGGAATGGAAGCTGCAAAGAAAGAATCAAGAATAAATCAGTAGCTGCGTCTCCATTGATGTTAAAACTCTGTAAAATGAAATTATGAAAGAAAATTTGCTTTATGGAAACAACCCGATTTGGAAAAAACGCATTTAAGAAGAAGAAGAATTTTCTGTGTCTTAACATTTGACTCATCCACGTTTTTAATGACTTATTGCATGAATAAATTATTCACATGTGATTTTAGTTGTATTTCTTATTCAATGGAAACACTGTATCTGTAAATATTTTCTTTTTTTTAATCTTTTTTCATTTATGAAATATCAAAGACAGTTTGTAATAAACATTTGTAATGAAAATGCAGCTTTTCAGACCCAAAAATAAAGTGGAAAACATAAAAAAGACCAGAAAATAAAGATTAAACCATTTTTATCAGTAAAAACTCACCTCTGACTACAAGCTCCCAGTCTCTATGGTCTCTTCTTCCGTCAATGACGACGTAGCACCGGTACCGACCCGCATCGCTGAGCCTCACTTCAGCCAGGAGACACCGGATCCCTCCATTCCTGACCAGCTGGGGGTCACAGTGCAGTCGACCTTTGAACTCATCATCTGTGAACGTCTCATCTCTGCTGTCGAACCGAGAAATCCTCCTCAGCGGCTCCATGCTCATCAGATCGACGTAGAGCCGGTCAGGCGGCGTGGCGTTCGGATCCGGACGGATTCATTTCAGCGTGACGTTGGAGTTCTCCTCGGCCTCGTAGACGTCCAGAGTTTCATTCACGGTGGGCAGAGATTTTCCTGCAGGAGTCAGAAAGAGACAGAAGCAAGAAATCACAACACAAATCCTCAGAAACACTTTGATGAAGTAGTTTCTGATAATCTGATGCATCATCACACTTCAAATATCCAGATTTGATGTTTCAGACGCTGACGGACGATTTAAAACATTTTTCTCACGAAGCTTCAGGTAAAAGTTTATTTAACGGCTCAGATGAAAAGTTGTGATCAAAACACTGACAGGAAATAGATCCAGTGATATCAGATCTGCTAATTATTCCTAGAAACCTGAGACGTCCTTCATGCTCTGAGTTAAAGTTCAGTTTAAAACATTCAGTCATATTTTCTCACCCAGAGCAGCAGAACTCAGAATCAGAACCAGGAGAGACGAGGAGGTCCGGTTCAGCATTGATGCTCTGTTAGAAATAATAAAACACATTAATTATAGACATTATTTCTACAAGTTATCACATGCAGAGACCAAAACATTTTACTCCAATAGCAGTAGCACTACTTCAACATATTTATACTCCAGTCAGAATAAAATAATGTTTGGTAAAAAGTTACTGATCAAATTATCAATCATTTAATATTTAAAATTACATAATCAGACAAACCAAAACATAAAGATTTGAGGAATTTTTTTATACTTTAAGGAGAAAAATGACAATAATTTATATAACAACAAAATAACAAAATTAAGAATTTATTATTTTTTTCCAAATCAGTTTCTTTCCATAAAAAAACTTATAAAACTTGAACAAAAACTGCAGGTTTGTGTTTAATTCTTGGTTAAAACATGTTTGGTTTTTATTCAGTGGGTAGAAAATCCAGAAATTTGACTCAAGTTTAGAAAAACATGATAATAAAAAAACTCAAGTAAAAGTAAAAAGTAATGAAAACAACTAAGGTACATTTGTTCTAAAAAGTTACTCAAGTTAATGTAACTGAGTAAATGTAACTAGTTACTATTGATCTCTGATCACGTGATGATTACAGATGATCATCATTTCAATATGGCGTCCAGATGAAACACAAAATGGAGGAAAATAAAATGTTTCACTTTGATCAGATCTGCAGACGCTTAATTAGTTTAAAGTTTAGTTTTAGTTTAAAAGTCATGCAGAAAACAGAGAGAAGTTTTAATTATGATAAAACTGTTAAAAACATGTTTGATCAAAGTGAAACTAAACATCTTAGTTCACTGAGTGTTTCTCTAATGATCGCTGTTACACAAACGGACGTTTTTCTGCAAACAAGACGCAGAGAAAATATGAATTTATATCAAATATTTAATAACTAAAAGCTGAAATGACCTTTGAACCGAAACCTTCATGCAAAAAGCAGCGCAGTCATGAAAAATAGGCCCGTATTACAAAAATCAACGCATTCTGCTTTATTTAATCTGTCTAGTCAAAACCTCTACAGAGTTTATTCCGTTTGTTATTAATAGAAAAATATTTTATGCAACAAGAAACAAACTGGAACAGAAACATGAAGAATCGTGATAATATTGCTGCTGAACTTTGTTCCAACTTTAACTAAACCTTCATTTAATGCGTGAATTTTAAAAACTCTTTAAATCTGAAAACATGAATTAAAACTGACCGTTTCAGATGAACCGAGTTGAAGATCAGAGAAAATCTTCCTGAACTTCCTGATTCTGGTTAAGGTATTGTCTTCAGCCCACCTTGTGACGTCATCGTCCTTCCTGTGTCTCTTAAAGGGGCAGACACACGTTCAGCCACCTGTTTATTCCACGGGAACAGTTTCTGTATTTTTGCTGGATTGGTTTTAATCATAACTAATTATTACACGTTGATTTAAAGAAACTTCAGACAAAATGAGCAAATAAACCAACAGAATGTTTCTAACCTACAGAACCATCTGTTGCCACTAGGGGGCAGGATTAGTTTGACCTGGTAAAAATATATGAATAAAGCTGATCTTAAATAAAATGCAGACTTTATTAGATACAAAGCCAACATACTATCATAATATCTGTATTTTAATCAGTAGTAAATACAACATGTAAAAATATGTAAATACAACAAAACAAACAGTTTTT